CCTTGAACCAGAAAGTGCTCGCCCTTGAGAAGTTGTAGGTCACAAAGCCTGATTTTCCAGCACTCCCATCCCTATTCACCCCCTCTCCTCCACCACCATCCACCTCAAATGCAACATTTTAAGGACGAACCAGGCAGTGCTCGTCCCCGGCTTCTAACCCCTATTCCCCAATTTTCCACCTTACAATTCACTGCTTATTCTTTAAGGCTTGGTTCTAATATCACCTTATCGGTACAAGGCTGGCCCCATTTTTCGGGGCAGTTATTCGATTACCTCCTTAGGAGTGCCAGGTTTGGAACGGGTGCCCCAGTTAGAATTGCAGCGGTGCCCTTTGAAATGCCTCTGTGAGCCTCAGTTTTGCGTCTCAAAATGAAGGTAATGTTAGTACTTGGAGGGTTTTGTTATGATTAAATGTAAAGCTGTTAGAACGTACGTGTTTAATAAATGTAAGCTGCTGTCATTATCCCCCCACACACACACACACCTCCTCCATGTACTTTGTGTAGGCCTCATAACATTTGCCTTAGTATTACGGTTGTCTTAGTCTACTCTATTAGACTTGGAGCTTAAAAGTTAGACCTGTGTCTTGTTCATGGTGTCGACATAAAACAAAGCCTGGCAAATGTATGCTATGAAATTATTTCTCATAAAACTTTTTATTTTAATTTATTTTTTAAAATATATTTTATTGATTTTTTACAGAGAGGAAGGGAGAGAGATAGAGAGTTAGAAACATCGATGAGAGAGAAACATCAATCAGCTGCCTCCTGCACATCTCCTACTGGGGATGTGCCCACAACCCAGGTACATGCCCTTGACTGGAATTGAACCTGGGACCTTTCAGTCCGCAGGCCGACGCTCTATCCACTGAGCCAAACCGGTTTCAGCTTTCATAAAACTTTTGAAAGACCACCTCTTCTCCTTTTCCTATACTCTCTTTTTCTTTCTTCACCTTTTTCTTTTAAAGGCTCGTTGAGACAGGAGTTTTCAATCTTGAAGAAGAAGCTGAGATCCAAGGGGGAAGAGTAAGCACCTCATTGGTTCTCCATGGTGACCAAGTTCTTAGTAACATCGTCCTTTCCATGTGACTGAACTTGAAACAGGTTTCTTCTTGACTATGGTCTCCTGACCTCCCTTTCCTCAGAGCACTTACTTACACAGTCATTGCAAATCCCTTCTATGATCCTTTGAAATGTATACAAGTCTCCTTAAAAGCCTCTTACTAGTTTTGAGACCCAGGGAATGTCTTTCTTAAGGACTGGGGACCATTCCTTTGAAATGTAATCCTCAAGGAAGATAGCACGCCAATTTCCTAGTCTCTGTGGGAGGGTGAGAGCCTAACTTCAGTGGGCACCTTGCTCCAAATTTTGAAACAACCTCCTGTGAACTTACTTTTCCTTTGGGTAAGATCAATCATCACACACAGGTGGCCTAAGGACCCCCTTCCTCTCCCCGCCACCACACACACACACACACACACACACACACAAATATTTCCCCAGCAGACTTGATTTCAATCTCCCATCGCAAAAATCCT